CACAAAACAACGACGGGGCTGCAGATTTTGTTTCCACCCCCTTGTAGAGACAAAGGAACAAGATATGTCGTAATGGGGCTGCAGTTTTTGTTTGTACCTTGTTGTTGTTGTTGTTGTTGTTGTTACTGGTCTTAATGTTGTTGTTACTGCCCTAGCGCAGTGTGAGGAAGTTCTGGGTCTGGAGTTCCAGAGATGCGCAGAGTGGAATCCACAGGTTTTGGGATCTTAGATGACGAAGGTTGGAGATCGAAACTTGGATGACGGCGCAGCATCTATGAACCTTTTGGAGTTGGAAATCGTCACAGATGGTGCCTCTCTTCTTTTTCTCTCTCTCTCTCTCCATGATATATTATCCGCTTGGACGTCAGCTTTTGCCACCCCCTTCGAGCCACGTTCTTTTTGCAAATGATTAGGTCTATACAAATAAATAGGGAACTGCTAAGCAGTTGCGGAGGCTGTTCTGCTTGGGGCGTAGGTGTCGTGTAAGCATTTTAGGTGGGCATTGAAAGACTTGCGTGGGCAGTTTTGCGTAGGCACATTTTTCATAAAAACGTAAGTCTTTTGCTCAGACTTCTTTAAATGTTGCTCAAGGGTCACAATTTTTGTTTGTAGTTGTTTAACTTGGCACTCCATCGAAAAGAGTAGTCTTGGCCATATTGACTGACTGAAGACATGCACTTCGTCCTGTAAAACGACAAAGGAACTCCCGACAATGATATCCTTGGAATGAGCACATGTGATGCAATATGATTGCTAGTACTGCATTTGGACCAGCACCTGCTCTTCCTGACAGCATAGTTGCTGCGTAGAATTGTGGAACAGACTGTGTGGGCTGTTTGGTTCCCAACAACAGTCCTATTCTTGCGTAGGCCCGGCGTAGGCACTCGCAGAAGCAGCGCGTAGGCAAGAAACTATTGGTTGCTGCTACTACTTGGCTGCTGCTTCTGTTGCTGCTGCTTGGTTGCTGCTGCTGCCGCCTCTTGTTTGCTGCTTGTTGTGTGTTGTTTGTGTGCTGCTTCTGTGCGGTTTGTTCTGTTTGTGTGCTACTGCTGCGCTGTTTGTTTGCTGTTTTTTGTGCTGCTTCTGTGTTGTTTCTTTGCTGTTTCAGTGCAGTTTGTCCGCTGTTGCTGCTGCTGCTGCTGCTTCTGCTGCTAATGCTTGTGTGCTGCTGCTGCTGCTTATGTGTTGCTGCTGCTTCCATACTGTAATTGGATTGGTTGATGATGTTTGATGTAAAAGTCTTGTAAGCAGGAACCTGATGTGACCCGGTCGCACGGGGCCACAAATTGCGGATTAGCATGGATTACGTGGATTAGCTCTTTTCGAGTCACCTGATTGTGACAAAAGTTGGTGACAGTACCCTGCCTAGGCATCAAACTTTAAATTTCATCTTTTTTGGATTGCCGTGAGACAATCTTCCTGCTTTCCTTGCGTGGTTTTCCCCCAGGTGCAAGGCGGCTCCGCAGACCTGGTGGCTGAGGCCATGGTGAAGGCGCCTGGTGGCCATGGCGCCTGAGGGATGGGAGGGTCTCCCCCAAATCCCGAGCCCCACCGGTAGGAGAACTCGACTTCCGTGGGTTTTTGTGCGACGTTCAGAGAACATAGAACAAGAATTAATCATGTTGTGAGATAGAAAAAAATGCCGGGAAGGCTATATGAGGCTCCATTGCCATCGTTTTTGCGTCCCTTTTTCGGACGAAAAAACAGACGTTCCTACCGCTACTTCATGACTGGTTTCGGCCACCCTTCACCTCCTCAACGAGAAGAAACCACCAGTTGCTGTGAAAGAGTGCCGTGTGTTTCGCACAGGACCACTGCCTTCCCCCCCGTTTGCAGAGAAGCATTTTTGCCTCGGTCGATCATTTTCCACATAATACGATCATAGAAGATCCACAATTCCTGCAACGTTGCTTCAGTAACCAAGGCTAAGAACTGTGTTTCACGATGAAGTTCAAGACTGAAAAGAGGGATCTACATACTAAGGCGTCACCAAGTAGTTTCCAAGTCATCAGCAAATCAGTTCACCGATTGACCAACAGCAGGAACACGCGACCAATTGAACACGGTTTGAGTTTTGCAGCAGGTTGGTTTGTTCTGCTTTAAGATCTCAGCCAAGCCTTCTAGTGCACATGAACATTGACATCACACGGTGTGCTACATAGATATAGATCTCGGGATAAAACAGTGCGATTTAAATCATATCCAGCCCAACAGCTGTTCGTGTTCACGTTCGTCAGCTGTTCATCGGTTCTTTTTCGACCGGGGACCGGAACCCCCAGGCGGAGAACGACGAAGAGCTGCGAAGCTTGGGCTATGTCATGGTGCTTCAGGCTCCAGAGACGGGAAGGAGCTGTGACCACGAGGTCGTGGTTGCAGCGCCCCTGGGCAGGGCTTGGCGTCAGGTGCCCAGGGCTTTGGGGGACCCCAAAAAGGAGGGTGGGTTTTTGGGGACCCATATCTTCGCCTCTTTTTGGAGGCCAGGAATAGATACCCTATGATACCCTAAACCTAAAGCAGCCTTGCTAGAGCACATCAACTGTATATGTCAAGGAGTTTATGGTTTGCCCTTGGTATATAGACATTTTTGAGGTCCAATCCCTCGCCCGCCCTGGCACCCTATTTCCATGAGCAGGCCATTTTTGGTGGGACTGAAGATCCCGGTTTTCAAGTTCTACACTCCCGAAAACTAACATAGACCCTGACAATGGTCCCATGGAAGATTATTTTCCTCTACCAACCAGGGGTTTTCAGGTTCAATGTTAGTCTTCCAGGGTGCAACTCTTTTTAGACTCAGAGTTTCCACCCAAACGGGATTCCGTTTCCCTCAGATGTCCCCAGATGTCACCTGGAGGTTCGTGGTGGCGCAACAGGTTGGTGGCCTTGTTCTTCAATTGTGACGGGACGTTTTTCGGGTCTTGCTTTGTACCAGATCTGGCCTTTTGCCCTGAAGGCTGAAGGCCTATAATATGGAAGTGGATCAACACCTCCAAACCCTGGTAGGTTGACCTCCCTCTTATTGCTTTGTTCATTGGTGGTGGTCAACCACAGTCACCCTGTTTTGATCCGGCATATCAGACTTGGTTCCTCCATGTAACTCATATTCTGGTTCGCATCCGCGACCGGAGTCCAGGTTCATGACGAGTTGATTTTTGAAGGGCCTGAGGACCGCGTGCACTGTGTGGACCATGCAGGTCGGAGGGCGCGCCTTCCCCAACACAAATGAGAGATGCTGGTGGAACATCCCCCCCAAGAAGAATGGATATGTTTTTGGAGTTGCCGACTTACCTGCTTAGGATGTGTCCAACCAAAAAAAAAAAACACGTGTTTTTTTGTTATTGTTTTTCTGTAGCTGCTGAATGGAATACAACCAGGGTGGTTCTGCTCCATCACTTTAGGATACTTTAGGTCTTTTCTGCCAGGTTGCAATTAAGCTCTTGACTTCAAATGGACACCGGACACGTGCAGCTGCGGATGAAATCACTCAGCCGGACTTGACGCGGGCACGGCGAAGCCGTTGATGAAGGCGAAGCCTGTTGTCAGATGTTGGTAGGGGGGTATTCAAAGGAGAAGGCCTTCAACCCGGGTTGCCCCCATTCCGCTAGACAGTAATGATCATAATCTCATATAGTCTCATAGTGATGACACAAACATCTCACTAGGTTTAGTAAATCGGTGCCTGTACTTAGAATCATCCAGTATTGGTGGTCATGGAATCATCTAGTATGATAGCAGTTTCGAGAGGATTAGCCGCACCTTTGACAAACCCCCCTCTTTGCAAAAGATCCTTGCTCCTAAAGGAACCTGCAACTGCCAACTTCGCAAGGTGAGATGACCTCCTTGATCCCTAAAATTGGCGGGATTCGTGCATTCAATCGCATGTTTGTCAACCACATACGAGTCATTTGTGTGATGTACTGAGGAGCACGCGGAGCAGGCACTCAGCGCTGTGAAGCTGGGGCCTTGGAAGTGAGCACGCAGATCACTGACCCGAAGGGGCTTAGCAGAATGACTGGTGAAACAGACTGATGTGGTGTTGGACGCTTGGTGAGGTCAAGCGGCAGTTTAGCAAATTCTTACAACCAGGTTCCTTTGTCAAGGACGTAGAAGAAGAGATGCTAGAACCTAAGTAATTAGAAGCCTGAACCCGGTTTCTCTTTGAGTCCAGGTTGCATGTGTTCAACATCTTTAGCCAAACCTGCCAAACGTGTGATTGATTTAAATCGACGGACTCTTTTTTTACAATTCAAGCGATGAAAAACGCGGGGATCTCTAACAGCTGAGGGGAGCCGAACAAATCCGTGAACAGGGCCAGAGAAATGCTCCATCAGATGTGATTGTCAAACATTCTAGATTTATGTCGGCCGCGCCAGCCATAGATACCAGGAGCCAAAATAACTTTATAAAATTGTATAAAGCAAAAACAAAGCAAACAAAAAGCAAAAGGCAAAGCAAACAAAAACGCAAAAACATGTAGCTGTACGTCTTTGTCGCTTTTTTCACTTGTTGTTCGCTTTATTTTCGCATGTGTTTCGCTTTCTGTTTCACATTTTTGTTTGCTTTATGTTCGCATTTTTTCGCTTTTTTCCTAGGAGCGTACAGCAAATATTGCTGACGGGTAAAGGTTCTCATAAGTGCAGAAGTGGTATACCAGGAAAAAAGCGAAAAAAAAAAAAAAGGCAAAACAAATGCAACAACAAAGCAACTTGCGCTGCTTTTGCATTTTCATTTGCTTTTGTTTTGCTTAAAAAAAAGAAAACTATTTGATGGTTGGTCGTGTATGGCTGCCATTGGTCAACATAATTCTAGATTCTAACAGTCATGGAAATTAATTGACATGTTAGATAATCATGTTTCCTTGGAAGACTACCAACTCCGCTAGAAACATCTAGTATACTATATGGAGTTGTTGTTTTGACAATGGGCTATTGGAGAAGAGGCGAGGCCGCGAGACGCGTAACTTGACCACCTCTCCACACCGTTGCAAACACCGAAGGCGGATTATGGAGCATCCGTTCTTGGATGACTATCAGTTCAAAGTGCCCCTTGTGGTGGATGCCAAGGTGGGAAACATCGGAAACATCTTGGAACCCTGAACCCCGCGTCAGCCTTGGAGTGTCCGGACTGGGTTTCTTCGTGACCCACTAGGTGATTCGGTGAGGAGAAAGAGAGAGAAGGACCTCCGGGACGAAGCGAAACCTCTGCTCGCATCGACGTCATCTCCCAACCACCGGTTGTTGGTGGAGTCAATATCAAGGTTGCACCGCTTGGAATGACAGAGCCGCCACCAGAGCAGCGGCTCAATACGAGCAAACAAGAGTCCAACAGTCAGATGTCTCTCCACCAGAGTCGGACAGGATGCTCAACAACGACCGCATCATGGCAAGAAAAAAAGGAAAGCAAAACCCGTCGTCCAAGCCCGACCCTGTTCGACCCTGTTCGACTGGATCAGTCATTCATGCGGATTGCTCCGCCAAAGATCAGAACTGCAAGAGACAGACTCCCAGACCTGTTGATTTCAGGATGAACTTTCCTGAATTTCTCAAACCAGTTGATTCATCAGGTTTCAAGATGATTTCGGGGATGCAACTTCCTCGTTTCCGGACCACTGGTCCCAATGTTCCGCTTTGACCGAATGACCAGGTGGCGCAGTCCTGGCATGAAGCGAAGCATGCCTAGGTGGGCAAGGCTGGAGCTTCGTGGTGTTAAATCAGCTCGCCCTGAAATGTAATTTGAGACACAAACAGAAAGAGTGGTGGAATAGGGGTCGTCCAGAAATGTCTGGTATGAGAAAGGTCTAGGTGTATGCTTTTGTTGTGTTTTTTGAGTCTCGCCCAGATTCATCAAATACAACTCTGAGTACATGGAAAGGATACAATAAGCGCATGTGATCAACAAAACAAACGATTGCTACTAGAAACTCCAATCACGACCCAATAAGCAAATGACCATTGGCATCTTGAATGGATATTTGCATCTTGTGTGGGATGGTCGTACTTCTGTTCTGTATGGCTTGGTATATAACTTATATGGCTCTTTGAAGTTATGGCCATACTTCTGTTATGGCTCTTTGAAGTCATGTTTTGATAACTGTAGTTATGTATCCTCCTGCAGATAAACATGCATCCTGAAAACCACTGGGTGGTAGATGGAATAGTCTTACAGGGGTCCATTTTCACTATCTATGGTCCGGTTGCAGGGGGCTAGCTGGAGGTCGTTTTGTGGTCAAATTTTGGAGGATTCTCAGTAGTTTTGCGTCGTCCCGCATGTGTTTGTGTTGTGAGGTTGAACATATTTTTGAAAACAGCGTGGGAGAATCAAAGAAGGGTGTTAAGTCATCCTAGTAATAGTACTGAATGATCACATCTGGCAAGACTAGACGCAGAAGACATGTAAGATCCTTGGATGTCGTATTTCAATCAAACCTCTTCTGTCGGCTTTCTCCACTTCTAAAATCAATGGGATAAAAACAAGTCTTCTTATAGAATCAATGGGATACAAACAAGTCTTATATTATAGAATGAATGCACATCCCTGAGTTTGTACTCGAAGTGCCGCTCAGTGTGTGTGTTTTCTTGGACCAGGGGGGTCTAATAACTTTCTGAGGATGTGGTTGGAGCCCTGGGGCACCAGACACTGGTGACATTTCTCATGTTCCCATTTCCACGCCTGCGCTTGGACAGGGGTGGTGCCGCCATGGGCCCGGTAGGGGAGAAAGCGATGCTTTCCGTGAAAGCTCGGGCCTTGTGGCCATGGGATGTGATGCTACCAGGTCAGGACTGGTGAGAAGGACTCAGGTCAAGACCCCCCCACTGCATCAACGGTGTTTTGTGTTCAATCAGGGTTGTGTAGGCACAACACAAGTCAAGATGCGGACCGCTTTGAAAAGACCTTGGAAGTGCAATATGATGCAATACGAGTTTGTTTCTTCTATTATCCGTTTACCGTATTGAACTTGGTCTAGTCTACCTGTCTCCTGAATATGATTTTGCCCTTGCTCAACTATTATGATTAACGCACAAGTTTCCTGGTCACAATAGTAATTGCTTGCCTCTCCTGAATCCTGGCTCAAAAGACCCTTTTCCTCATGCTCGCTCATTGCTGGCTCATGTGGCAACTGCCTCATAAAGTCCATGTAGACCCCTCATGCTGCAGTCCTGCCGATTCCTTATGAAGAGATTCGTCTTGGGTCTCTGCACCTTCAACGGGGTTTTTATAACATCCCAGATGCACATTCTAGGGTCCAAAAGGGATTATATAAAGGGATCCAGCTGAACAAGGATGCAACGTGACGTGAGAATCAAGGAGGAATCTCACATGATGTTTTAATCTACGACTCAATGTGGAAACAGAAGGTCATTTCCGCCGTTTCCGCCTGGTAGCATCCGATCTTGAAATCGTCGATGATTTGGCCAGTATTTGGGGCGGCCAAAAGAGTCTTGTGCCGTGGCGCTCTGCGGCGCCCGGGGCGGCTGACGCACGCATGACTGGGTGACACTGGGTGACTGGACGTTTGCTGCGGCAGAGAAGTGAGTGATTAGCGGGGTGAAGAAATCAGACATCTTATTGAACAATGACACTATGATCCAATAGATGTTTGATTATTCATAGTTCCTCATAATCCATAGTGTTTCTTTTTTCAGATCTATGACAGTGTGATCCAATAGTTACCTTGACGATGAATTGTTGGATCATGGTTGAAAGGTCCAAAATGCACCTTCCTGAAGGTCTATAGTGTGGCAACTCTATGGACTGAGGGGAGCAAACCCCGACAAGAACCATAGATGGTATTATATACCCTTGTTTGGTCGTCGTGCTGTCTCCCACCCGGTTTGTGTCGGTCCTTTGCAGCTATTTTCAGAAATTCCTCGGGACAGATCGCGGCCAATCAAGCCAAACCAAAGGCTTGGATGTGGGACGTCGTCTTTGCTGTTGTTTTCTCACCACATGCCAACACAAATCTCACTCTCACGCTTTTGTTGCGGGGGTGTCCATTCCCAATCCACCAATCCACCTGTTTTTTGCTTCAAAAGATCTGCATCGCAGACACTTCATTCCCGCATTTCTCCACTCCGGGTTTCGATGCGAAGCGGCGCCACCTCGTGGGATGGAGGCCATCACCATGGGCCTGGGCTTCTTGCTTTCAGCTCCTTGGACTGAGGGAGAATCAGATCCTCCGGAGGTTGACAGAAGAGAATCAGACGTTGACAGGAGTGAGTTGAGGGTGCGTTTCCTCCGAAGTGCTTTCTGAAGTGCTTTGACAATTGGACTAGAGAACCCAAATATTTGGTCCAAGCTTTCGGGCTTAAGGGTTTTGGAAGGCTAGGGCCAAGACATGTCTAGGCCTTACAAAGATGATCAAAGATGTGTGGTTTTGTTAGTCCGTCGTTTGACTCCGCAGTGGATCAAATTGAACAGAGGCACCAAGCCTAAGTGGGTTGCCCGATCCGATTGCGGTTCTGATGGTAAGGGAGCGATGTAGTCGAACTTGGCATCAGTGTGCAGCCCAGTCATTTGCAATGCCTGGCACCATCATGAAAGATCATTTTCAGGCAACAGCACCATTTGGGGTGTTCGAAGTGTAATCCTATCCAGCCATTGCCGACGGTGACGTGACCTTTTTGGGGGGGGTCTCGCGACTGAGGATCTGGGTCGGCTATTGTTTCATGACCAGGTCTATGTCATCGTCCAGGAGGGGTGAACGAAGTGGCTCAGACTTCGGCCGGACTGATCTGAAAGTGGATGAACGCAGTAACGCCAGTGACCAAATGACACACCCTTCAAGATACTACGGCGGAACCAAAGACAGCCCTCCCCCCCCACACCAAAATCAACTTCAACCTTTGGAACCGCCCAACCTCAAACTTCGATTTTCCACGTAGAAGAGCCTCCCTCCCACACACCATATCAGACCTGCATGACCCGGTTTGACCGCCGAATGACTCGAACTCTCATGTTACTATAGTAGCTTCTATAGTATACTATATAGTAGTATCTACTAGCATCTACAATGCCCTTTTGTTCTTCACGTAGCAGCGATGCCTTCCGATCGTCGCTTCGCTTCGCTGCGCCGCATTCGCTGGGGCAGGCGATCTTTTTCCTGCCCATCTCGCTGGCGATCTTCGTCGTGGAATGGTCCCGCGGGAGCCGAAGGGCCCCGCTCCCGAGTGTCTCAAGTGCCTTCGGCCGAGTGGAGCGTTGTGCGTTTCGGGCGCGTTGAGCGTTTCGCGTCGGAAGCCTGGAGCGTTTCGGGAGCGAAAGTGACAGCGAAGCTGAGGGTCTGTCCTTTTTTTGTTGACCTGTAACAGGACCCGCTTCAGGAAGCAATCATGTATAACTTTTTTGGGGGCAAGGCCTGCAACTGAACCATCATCAATCCACTGTCCCAAGATATCGTATATTGATGTACAGTATGTTGTATGTAATTGTATTCATATATGTACCCTACTACAAGTCCGAAGACTCAGCAACACCTGTTTATGTTTCCTCCTTGAGTAGTGTTGTTTGTATGACCAACTCCAGTAAAATGAGGTCATTGACCTGTCATTATATGCATTTACCTGATCACCCCACTTACCACCACACACTATCACTTACTGGTTGCTGGTTGCTCTATAAAATGAAGATGTCTTGTACCGTATAAAGTGCCAACATGTGTCAGACAATGCTCCAACCTTGCTGAAACACACTGTGAGGTAGGAGAGGAAAGTGCAATTTGTAAAAAGCTGGTGTTTCCAATGTTAAGTTCTTTGTGTGTATATAATGTATATATGTATATATTTATATTACACATATGAGGATGTAAAAGTCAAAGTTCCCGAGAATATACTAAAGAGGTGGAGACAAACTTCTTAGGTGTATTAATTGTGACAATTGCATTTTGTAGACAACTTGGTCACTTCAGATGATTGATTGCATATTTGTATGTGTTGTTGTTTTTTTTTTTTCATTTTATGCCGCTGTTGTAAAACTGTAAAACTTGTTCTTTGGTAAAAACACCATTAAGGACTTATGCCTTTCAGAAAAGTTGATTCGCACTCACGACATTCTCAAATCCATAACGCGTGCCCAATGTACCAAGTAAGGATGATACTTGATCTATGTCGGGACGTTGCTCCCCAGAAGCCAAGGAAATGCTGGTGCAGAGCATCAAAAGCGTGTGGAGAAGGTGGCCTCCGATGTGAAGTGCCTTGGCGACGGGTGTGGAGAAGGTGGCCCACACGGTGAGACTGGAGATGTACCCGAATGCCTAGTAGCGTCCTTGCTCCGAGTGGCGATGCCAGGAGCCCCTAGTAGCTTCTTATAATTAATGTACCCCCCAAAACACAATCCCACGGACCCTCAATAACCATGAGTTGATAGAGGACATCCCGTCTTCCAGGGGCCCATGGTGATCGGAACCAGGAGCGTATGACCTCGGAATCTGGAGATCCGGAGGCTGCAAGAAACCCTCCCTGCAACTGCCCATGGGTTGCGTATTTCGCTTAGTTGTTCCCTGGTTGTAGAGGAGAATGTCGTTCCAGGGGCCATGCCATCCACTTCCATGATGATTGGAGAGAGGCGGGTTGATGTCATGAACATTGGATCGTCATTTGAGTTACCTATATGACTGAGCTGAGTGGAGTAGAATGAAAATCCGGCCAGGCGCCCTGACAGTCACGACCGCCGTGGCGCAAAGGCGGTCCCTGACGTACCTGGCCGTTGTTTTCATCCGTACCCGGGGGTCTCCGGTGCCCCAGTCTGCTCTGAAGAATGCGAGGAGTCTACTAGTAGCGATGCCCTTGCTCCGTTCGTAGTAAGGCCAGGAGCCCCGCTTCCGCTGCGTCCTTGTTCCGTAGCGATGTCAGGAGCCCCTAGCCCGAGTAGCTTCTTGTTACTGAGGCAGCAATCCAATGAAGGGCAGCTCTTCACCAGTCGCCCCGACCGTGAGCGAATCAGCTCGCGGATTGTGGGCCGCTTGGCAGCGCATCGGATTGGGCTTGGCTCCGGATTCCTGGCCCTGGGGTGGGCCATTTGAGGCGTTGAACGCAAAAGAACTGAGCCCTTTGAGCACCGCAAGAAACCTCCCAAGATGAACTAAGAAAGTGATGCGACATAGGGGTTCAATCATACGTATTTTGCAGAGCTTATTTGTTTTTAACTTAAGGATTTGTCACCACAAAACCATGCCAACCATTCTTCTCTAAGGGTCGTATTGAAGGCTAAGAAGGTATCTTTATAGACATGGTCATTTCGGAATCTAGAGGATGTCCATAATTTGTGAACTCTGACATGGGCTTTTCTAGGCTGCTGCCCACCAAGCTTCGTTTGGAGGGCCGTCACAGAGATGCTTTTAACTTTGGAAGAGGATTAGCCCTGAACTCCTGTGCCTTTGTTGCAGAAGTAGCGGCACCTGTCAATGTGTATCCGGGGATCGCTGTCAGGGTGCCGGGTGATATAACTTAATTAAACAGATAAACTAGTAAATCACAACAACGTTGGAATTGGCTTGCTGGAGTTTGAGGTCATCAATGGGTTCTATCGGATCTTGCTACCAATGAAATGATGGTCAAAGAGACTACACAGCAACACAAAACACATCAAATGCAAACACTGGGGAACATGTCACACTTAGCTCTCTGAAACATTTTCATACTTTTCCCATGTTCGTTCTGGTCGTGTTCTTCTTTACCAGCTCCTTTCGTTGCACCAGATGGCCGTACTCTTTGCTGGTGCATCCAACCCCCCCGTTTGCATGTCATCACCGGATCTCTACCGGTCTTTTGCACACCCAAAAACGTGTCCAGCGGCGCGTCCGTCCGCGATGCAGCGCGTCCGCGCTGAGCTCCACGGAAGCAGAAGATCGACACCAGCGCGTTGAAGCATATCGTTGAGGTGCCGAGGGCGGCAGGTTTCGTCTGCCCGTTGCGCCCAGCGGTTTGATGTTATTCTTTTTCAATGCCCCACCATTTAGCCTGAATCCCGAACCAATATATGGTTTTACTATATATAAGGGTTAGTTTTACACTACAAAGCGTGGTCAACCATTGTGTAAATGGTTTTAGAAGGCTAAGGAATGGATTTCACCACTCTCCACCTGAACTAGACCGTACGCCGATACTATGGCCTGTCGCTTGAATCCACTTCAGAAGGTGTTTGATGGTTTCAGATATTTTTTATTTGAAGGTTCAACCTTTAAATGATTTGGGATGATTGAGCCCAGCCTCACTCATGTATTTCAAGCGAGTTGAAACCCTCCCAACCAGACTTGAATGTTGCTAGATGGCCAGAATGGAGATCCGACCCCAGACCGGCCAGGTATGTCTCGTCATTAGGGTCCTTTTTTTGGGGCTCCCTTGACCACAGCCAACGATCCGGAGGAAGTCTCCACCATCACGGCAGGTGGATGTGGAGAAGGGCTTCGTGGTGGCCGAGCCGCGCTTGCGCATGGTGGCGCCTTGGCCGAGCAGCACTCGCAGATCCAGGGTGCTGTCTGACGCGGTGAGGGGGAAGAAAGAGATGTAAGAATCCCCAAGGATCTAATATAACCCTACAAGTCCTGGGACCTTACAAAGTAGGTCCACTGCCGAATAGGGCCTATATTATATTATATGACAGACTCAGTTGTTCCAAACTTGTCAGTGCAACAGACTCAGTGGCCTGAGGCCAGATCCAATGTTCTTGGTGGAGTGTGGGCAGTTGGTGATTAACGTTGTATCCAACCACGTACCTTTGCTCAGCTGTAGAATCCATGATACCTCCAAACAGACGCCGCATATATAATATTCAGATTCATTAAGTGCATCTTTTTTTTTGCAAACCTCCAATTTTATCTTCCTTCATATTCCAACCCTTTCGTGGGTGCTTGGCTGCTATTGGTTTCTTCCTTCTGCCAGACCACCCTGTCCATCCGACCTGACCCGTCGCTTCCAAGGAATTGTCCCACTTCTTGCTGTCGTGCCTTGGCAGATCCGATCCTCGCCACCGGACCGGTCGGTCCGACTCGTTTGCGTGGGCGCTTCAAACGGCGGTTCCATGTCGTCCACGGCCGATAGTCGCACGGGTGGCCGGTTCCGGCAGAGTTCCGGATTCGCCCGGTCTTCAGGGGGTTCTGAAGCGTTCTGGGTCTACGGTATAGGTTTGGGGCCTCCAGGGATTTTGAGCAACGTCTCATCTCAGATGACGAACTTCAGGGAGGTGCCGAGATGGCCCCCCCGGTGTCGATGCACGGGTCTATGGGACGGGCGGACGGGAGGCTCAGGTGGAACGGATCGATTTCAACCTCGATGGCTCTATGCAATTGAAAGGTTTGTTGCTATGGAAGAAGACAGGACCTTGGGGGCACTGGGAGTGTCCATTCTCGTGGGCGAGAGATGGGATCATTGAGGGATGGTTTTCTTGAAGGCTTGGGCTGCAAGGCTGAAGAGGGATTAGGGGCTCAGACAAATCACATGAGTGAGGGTGTATAGTATATATACATATCATATATTATACATATTCAACTGACTCAAGTGACCTGGTCTTCATGCAACAATCCCTTTGGCAGCTCCTGTGTTTGGCTGCTCCATCATCAGCTGTGACCGCTTCGCGTCACCTGGTGCCTTCCGCCCCCATCCACCGAGGGATACTCGGACCGAGGCAGGGCTACTCGGTGCCATGTGTGCCGGAGCTGGATGATCTCACGGTGGGTGGGTCCCTTGGCCGCCGGTGGCCCCACCGCCTTTTTTCGGCTTCTCCAGGAGTTCCACCGGTTGGTGGTGTTGCAAGTGAAGGGACGTGGAGGGCGGATGGAAGCGAAGGGACGTGTGCGAACCGGTCTTATCGGTGGACTTGGTAGACGCGGAGAAAGTGACTGATGTACAAGAGAAAACCGACTGCCACCGTATATATTTCCATACAGTTTCACACATGTTTTTTCCAGCATGCCTTGTTCTGGCGATGTGTAGCCAAGTTGAACTCGCAGAAGAAGTTTCTCCGTGAACATCAAGGATTTGCAAAACAATAATGTGTTTGAACACCAAAGTGGTGCCCAGATCGGCATCGATGGCCTTTGAGAACACGTCCCCGAGGGACCTTGGCATCTCAGTCACATGTATGCGTTAACTCTCCAGACATCCGAGGCTCTTGATGGGCTGCGGTATCGAGTCGACGTCATGGAAGTATGGCATGTTCAATGAAATTTGTTACTTGGCTTCGGAAGAAGAGCACCTTCGGCGCCCGCAGCGATCGAGACGGGAGAGCGTGATTCCAGGTGATACCATAGACTCATTAGCTCTTTACTGGCACTTGATTGCCTTAGCACTTTAACAGCGAAACAACGCATGAGACAGCTTGAGAGCTTTACTTGAAGTTCGAGGTGTTTTCAAAACGAGTTAGGGGCAAATTAGAGGCACGAAACAACTTCTGGTACATGAACAACCACAGCAACAAACCAGGAGACCGCAGCAACCAATCAACAGTGGTTCACCAGAGAAGGCACTCGTTCACCTCTTTGGTTTCCCGGTCTTCGTTGGGAGTCCAAGGCCTGCACCGAGGCTGTTGGCCCCCCTGCCCCCGTTGGCCCCCCCTGAAAAGAGTGTCTTTGGAATCACGGGGTATTTGGCGCACATGTGGAAGGTCAAATGCGGGGCAGAGGGGTCATGACATGGGCGGTCCAGACCCAAAATCATCATCAAACTATTGAAGGTAAGCTTCAGAATACATTGTTTCGCTGACCCCAAACAAATATACAGTGCTTGTACTTTGTGACCTTGTGTAGTCCTTTTCATCCTGACACCTTTGTTGGTCACCTGCGAAGCTCCGTGGGTCGGAGTGGGAAGATCTGCTTTGGTACTTCCGACCTTTGCACCGTTCGACCTGACGGTTCAGGGACCATCCAAGAGGTACCGAAAGAAACCACGCTGCGCTCGCTCGCTCTTTGTCCCGCGAAACAACGGGAGCGTCCCTGCACAGCACCACTTCGCGATTGCCAGACCTCCACCAGAGCAAATCGCAAAGAAAACACGTGTCGGAGAAAACCACGTGTCGGACACATGGACCCGAATGCTTTGATGGTCCCAAGCTGGAGCCTTCTGCGTCACCCCTCACCCCCTCCGGTCACCTGGGTACTTCGCCGCGACTTCGAGTCGCAGGTGTCGCCTACGAGATTGTGACGGCCGGCGGAGAGGTGATCTGAACCAAACCGTCGTTGTCTTGACCGGGAACCGGAGATTTAAAAACGGTTTGATGTCGCACATACCGGGTTTTACTTGAGTGTTATTGTTGTGTTGTGGGCACAGGAACGTGCACTTGAAACTGGTGTCGTGAACACGCGGCGGCCGTTGGATTTGGTCAGTTGCGTGTTAGTTGACAAGGATATTTCTTCAGTTTTGTTCTGACTGACCAACATGGAAATGCAAAGTGGCCTCTTGGGAGACTACTTTCCGCAAAAAACATGAGAATGTCCACTTCCATGTTAGTGAGTCAGAGTGTAGCTATGACTTTAAGTGTTGTGCAATACCGACTCAACGACTTTGGAATGCCTGATGCTTTTTACAACGAAACCAGGCTTGGATCCATAGCTAAACCAAACTCCAGCCGAGGTGTATTCATGAGGTGCTATTCACGTCCCCTGGATAACCTTCAACCGGCCTTCCCTAGGGCTCCAGCCATATCCTCAGAAGGTGGTTAGACCCCCCAAACCCACCCCAACCATCTTCTCAGGAGGTGGTTGGAGCCCTAGGGCTTCAACCTTTTTGGGATTGGCGGGTTCCCCACTCTCTCATCCAACAGGTGGAAAGTTCGGTTTGCAAGGGTCACAGCTCGTGGCATGGGTGGTTTGGAACACCAATTGGCGGCTCCGTTTTGGGCGGCTTTTAATAAGCCGTGCATCGAGTCGAAGAACCGCTTCTACCTTCAGGAGATTCCAACAGTACTTTATATAATTTAATGATGATGGGTAATGATGGGATGGAAGCAAGAGATGGTCAGTGATATTCAATGATATTCAGCGATCATCCATGCTGGCCACATGCATGCAAAGCGCCACATGCTGGACGCCTTGACTTCTGAGGCTTGTTGATCACCAATCTACACATCCCCTAGGGATCCAAGTACCTTCTCAGAAGGTACTTGGACCCTCCAAACCTACATAACAGTGCCTCCAATCACCTTCTGAGAAGGTACGACTGGATCCCTAGGGATCTTGATTCAATCTATTCCCCGCAAAATGCCGAGATCTCGAGTGAACGGTCTGGCCGCATCCATCTCAAGAGAGCACCCCACCTTCAGCGGCCTGGCTCGTCCCGTCCTACCCAGTGCCATCCCAGTCCCAGTGACGCATGCCTGCTGGCCGCACACCCATCGGTTCGATCGGAGCTCCGCTGGGAAAAGGTGCTCAAAGTCACGGAGGAGAGCGACAAGGACGGTGCTGGGTCGAAGCCCTGACGGCAGCGGGACTGCTCATGTGACCCCGAAACAGGTGAGAATTCGTGAGCAGTGCAGTCAGCAGTCAATGTTGTTTTTAATTTTTTGGGGTGCGCATCTGTTCTTTTTGCAAAATATATATTAGTAATTTGTTGTATGTCCTTTTTCCTGGGATGGTCCCAGATGGAGTTTGTCGTTTTTTTTGTGTTGTTTTCGGTACATGCTTCTGTTGGACGTCGGAAGGCTTTGCCTCAGAACGTCGATTCAAAACACATGATGACACTTGTTCACTTGTTGTATACCAGACCTCATCCAGGACACCTGGACCAGGGGTGTCTATTGATAGCACCAAAAAGAGGTGATTCGGGGTGTCCAAAACCACCCCGACAGTGGGTCCTAGATGTTCTCTATAGATGAAGTGGGGGAGTTATATAACCCTTCTTATAAAACGTTGTATGGGCCTCCTCACTGTGCACGTCCACCCCATGGAAGTTGGGTATCTGGTTGTGTTTGTGCTCCACTTCAGCTAGTTGTGGATGACCATGGTGTCTTATGGCTCAGGCTTCAGTGCTCAGCATAGACATGTTGGTAGCCTAGCAAAACAGAGTTTGGCAGTACGGGTTTTGTAAACTACACGATTGTTCTGGATCACATCAACTAAGGACGTTCTTCTTCGGCTCGCCACGATAGCAGGCGGCTTGTCCTCCTCGTCCTCGTTTGCTCATCCTCGACCTGGTCTCCCCAGGGGTTCGGTTTTGGGTGTCGAGCCTGCCGTCCCGTGGCACTGAACAACTCCCCTGGCGGACAGGTCCGGGTTTCGGGACACGTCCAGCGCTGCGAGCGCAGCGCTGTTTCAACTTCAGGAGCTGTTTTACACGTTGCCATGGAGTCATGGCACGCATGGGATCCTCGTGTCCGCCACCTTACGGATCATCCCAGCCCCACGGCAGAGAACTGGGCCGTACAGTGGGGCCGGGCGTCAGACACTGCTGGCCATTTTGGGCTGCCCAGGTGCGGCAGACAAAGCAAATTTGAATTCATTTCTATACCCTAAAATCCAAGTACCACCCTCCAAACCTACATAACAGTGCCTCCAATCACCTTCTGAGAAGGTACTTGGATCCCTAGGGATACGGAAATTGGGAAGGGTACCACGGTACCACAATTCGTAAATAAAAACTTGGGGGCTAGCGGCTAGCAGGATCCGGGCGTTGCAAGAAACCGAATGAATCCAATGAACACCGGCCATGAGCGCCTTCGACACTCCCACTATCTCCCACTGTGTTTCCTAGGAACGAAGTATGGCCGATCTTCTGTAGTTCCCATATCAAATGAAAATCTCCAAATAGGTCTTGCCGCAGTATGGCCGATGGCGCATGGCGAGTCAGGAGGTCATTTCCAATACTGCGTCGTTTTCGTGCTGTTTTTGTCCGGTGTGCTGCACGGGTGTTCGGTTTTGTTTCACTTCGGCAGAGTAGATGATTTAGGAAAGGATCTGCAGCAAGCTGACCATGAAGAGAGGCCATCAGTATGAATGTCTCCACCCAGATGTGGACAAAAGCACGGGCCGCATGGCCGAGCTTGTTCTCACTCCGTGTCACTCCCGCCCTGTCGACAGTCCAAGCCGCCTTACTCGGCGGTCGAGTCCAAGCGGTCGGGCTTCCTTCGATGGCAGGTCTCAGTGTGTCGTTTTCGTAGGGGTTGCAGTATGTTGCACTCGATGTTGCACTCGAAGCGGCACTTTTCTTTGGGCTAATTTCCAACAAGATATGACAAGATATAAAGCTCCAAAAAGGATTGACATCAAAACCCAAACAGTCAAGACGGTTCTTTGGAGGTTGCAGTAGTTGACCCAGGAAGATGAAGAGATTGAACAGCTCAGGGTAAAGAATCTTGTTTTTCTTGTCACTTGAACATAAAACAATTATATAATGGTTGATATGTTGTTTTTTGTTTGTGACATTATGAGACTACCAGCTTTTTTGCAGGAATGAATTCATGCATCCATTTGACACCCCGTTTTGTCATGAATGCTGATTTGATGCACTTAGGCAAAACCCTACGTCAGGATTCAGCTGGAGCACTGTCCTGATCGATGCTCGGCTGACATCAAGGGACTTTGGAGTGCTTTCAATGCCAAACACGACCCGTCTGGGACTGCCGATCAGGACTGCCGATCAGTTTTCATGTGGTTTGGGGTTCTATGTATGTAGGCGTATCGACTTCGCATCTCTTCCATTCCCGTGGCTGTTTCCTCCTGAGCCTCATCAAACGTTCGACGAGGCGGAGGGACCAACCTCCCCGCCGACCGGGGGACCGACCGTCGTCCTGGGGAAGAAGATCTGGAGACCACAAGAACATGCAAGAACTTATGGCTTGAGAGATGTTACATGATTGTGAACACATGTGAATAGTTTCTGTTTCTAGTTCTTGGTGTTTCTGTCTATGGAATGGAATAAATGAACATCGTCACTATCTAGGAAATTATAATTACATTATAGTCTCACAGCAACCGCCACACATCTCTGATTGAGCCTTCGGACATATCCGGAGATCGGTATGAGGCATATCCTTCGAACACCTCGGCCCTGTAGTTCACTGAGATCCGAAATGATTTTCTGCACATAGTGAATCCAGCATGCAACAGCCACATCTTAGTTGATTCCAAACCCCTCATTGTTGATAGTTCATGCTTGCCAACACCTTCCTGATTCTGCCAACACCTTCCCCAAAAAAGACTTGCTAAACAATATAATCGCTTCGAAGCTGAGGTGGATCCCCCACCCCACTCGGAGTCTAAGACAAATGACTGGATCAAACCCAGGAGTTACGAGGGCCTGGGTGGTTTGCTTCGTCCCATTCCAGGGGAGTGAGTGGATGTGTGGCACCGAACCGATCTCCTACCTCCCTTCGGAACCGGCACCCAACTCCATATGACTCCTTGACATCGTTCGGGCATACATGGGGCTGTCTATGGCTTTCTGGTGCATCTCACCCACTTGACTTGGGTCTTCGATCCCGGATCGCGGATCTGCGGCGATCACGTCGAACGAGGCACATCTTTGTGCAAGGCATTGGAGATGCTCGACCAGATTGATCGGGGGAGGTGGAGTTCATGGTGCAGCTGAAGCGAATTCGATGGAATATGATAGAATATCTTGAAGTGTATTGTTAATAGTGTGGTGTGTGGCATACATACCACAGCTTCCTATGCGGTTGAATTAATCAATATAATATTTATTTGCAATTCACTCCCCTCACTTGTCCCCAATGTGTGTGTATGTGTATGTATACACACTACACACACACACTCGAGGTTTGCTGAAAGACCCGCGGTCTTGCACAGGAGTTGAAGGGTTTCCGTTGCATGATTCCCAGGTCCGAGGAGGGGCGAACAAGGAAGACCAAGTATATAACAGTATATACTAACACTGGGAGATGGTCTATGTTGCAAGTTAAAACTGGGCTTTAGCACAGCCTTCACTAGATGGCTCAAGTGTCACAACATGCATAGATACTTAGATTTGAGGTGTTGCAAGGAAGAGTTGCCAACCGATGGAGCTCATACAGTTCATACAGTTTTGTTTCATGCTATGTCAACATAAAATGTGCCTTCTTCTCCTTCTAAAATCCTCACCCAAATCCACCCGGCATTCCGCCATGGACGGAACATCCTTAGGAGCTCGGTCGCGAGCGGGGACCACGAGTTCGTGGAGGGTTTGGCCTTCAATCCCACCTTTGCAGTGGCTGCTTGGCGGCGTTTCGCGACTCTGTATGTTGATTTTTCCTGGGAGCATGGAGAAGCGAAGGGAGGAAGGGAGGTTGGGAGTGGGTGGGGAAGAGGCTTTTTAGTTCTGGTCAAGAAATGGCAGGATGGTTGGCAGTTGGAAGAATATTGTGAGGTTAGTAAGTTACAAGCGCATGTTTTTCCTGCTGTACATTGAGTGTTGGGAGTTTTGACCTACACGGCCCAGTGACTTGTTGAGGCAAGAATGAGGGTGTATAGGATGTTTGTGCAGGCTTACTCAGGGGTTGATTTGGGTTATTTTGTAGACCATAAGGATCCTCGTGAAGCGGACAGTTAGATGACAACCAACTGCAGTATTGTCCAGTGTCCAGTACTGTTGCATACTACATCCTCTAATGTATCATTACTTTCATGTGTGGTCTTGAGTAGTTTGAGTTGGGCATCCTCTCGTTGTATTTCAACCATGCACAAAAGCTATCAACTGTTTCCGTACGTTTCTTTGGGCATCTCGCTTGTTAATGCATCGTGGCAGCTAGGGAAAACATCCTAACAGACGTCGCGGGAGTTTCATGATTGACAGTTGTTGCTCCTTCAGTGACACGGGGATTGTTTCACGATATATTTATTTCCGACCTTTCTGAGGACAAAGACCAGCATTTGGTTCTCTTTCTCTGCAGTGTTTGATGTTAGTGTCAGTGTGATGGTTTCTTCTTCAACAATTTAGCATGTGTTCAAACAATGAAGTGGGGTGTTTGATGGACACAACATTAAGATCATTTATACATTTTACTGTATATATACTGTATATATTATATATAATATATTATATAACTTATTCGTTTTTACACTACTTTGATGATTGGTTCCCACCAGAGGTATTTGCTCAATATGAGACCACTTTGCTCTTGCCATTGGTTTTGGGAGAGCCGCTGGTGAATTGTCGCCATACGAAAACCCATGGCCCAAGAATTAAAACCCCGACCGGCTCAAGAGCCCAGGTGATGAAAGGCTCATATGTGGCCCCTTGGCACCGACATCGAGCACATGCGACGTCCGGACGCACGTGCTCGACGTTTTTTCGGTCACGACCGCCAGGGATGGGATCCATCATCAGGTTTGGATCCAGTTTCACAGGTGTGTTTTGCCATGGTTTTCCCCACTGATGTGGAGGTTTGACATCCTGGGTATATTTGATCGTAATATTTGGTGGACTTTCAAGGGTCAACCAGGACCCAGGATTTGACCCACACCCCGAGATCAAGAGTTGAAAGAAGAGTGAGAAGGGTGCCACGAGAACTCTGCCAGAACGCCTCAGTTCTGCCCAGGAAGAATGAACGCTAGCCATATGAAATCCATAACATGTTCATTCTGTTCATTGATGAGTCCGGAAAGAGCAGCTGCTCATATGGCAAAAATCTGATTCCACGAGACCCAGTTGTCGAATTCCAGGGCATCTTGGGGTTGTTGAAAAGGGGTCAATGTATTGAATTAGCTGCCTAGGCATACATCGACATTCCAATCCCATGGATTTGTCTTAGGATGTTCAATGTTCATCACTTTCTGAGGACGCACCAGCCGCAGATGACGAGATCCTCTCTTTGGGCAAATGGCATGATGCCTGGTTTTTCAAACAGGTCCAGGAGAAGAAGCAAGGCAGGATCAACGGGCGGACGCGCAAGGCGCAAGTGCAGGGCCCATTTGGCACAGCAGCAAGGCACCTGATAGCCTCCATGTTTAAAAAAGGACTCGGTCATGGCAAGGACGAATGGACTGAGTCCCAGGCTTGCATGCTTGAGTCGCTTATATGGATATTGTTAGAGCAAAATCACAGCAGATTGGTTGCAGTAGATCAACAAGCTTGGCTGAACCAAACCGGGCCCAGTAAATTACAGCTTTCATCCAGGTGTGTCCTCTATACAGTGGGTCCCGGGTCCAGAGTAGACAGCACAAAAGTTACTCGGATCCCAGTACAGTATTGTGCTTTGAATGTGTGCTGTGCTGCGTTTGCGAGGGTGACGGTTTTCAAGAACCTGGACAACCGTGCCAATGCTTGTTCTGTTTTTGTCCTGGCGGGGAGCAAACACATCAGATGGGGGACACGTCGGACATTGAAACACTTTCTGCGTTTAGATGGTGCATTGCATGTTGGCCCACGACGTCGTTTTGCTCGCAATATGTATTATATTATATATAGGTGTGAATGTTGGGGCCAACTTTGGTGCGTAGGGCCCGGATCGCCCACTGCTTGTTTGGGCTTTAAACACGTTGGCTGCCGGGTTTGAATTCGATGTTTGATGCTTCACGTGTCATATAAGATCATGTCTCCCCAAGATAGAAAGGCTTCCAGAATCCTTGCACCCAGTGTCGCACATACATTGACCTGTAGATCGAGGACATACATCTTCCTCACCCAGACCTCACCTCCAGCCCGCGTTCTGAATCAGATATTGGATGGTCAGAGACCCAGGGGTCTGGGGTCTTCCAATCCCCAGCTTCTCTCCCTTCACCATCAGAGACCCTCAGCGAATCCCCCGCCTGCTGCCGGACCAGGCACGGTGTGCATGCGTCGGGCGCCCTTGGGGAGGGAGTGCACGTGGATCACGTGCCGCGTGGATCGGAGGGGTGAAAATCCAACAGGTGGATAAAGCCGTTTCATAACTCCATACATATCACATGATCCCGTGATTTTGCCGGGGATTTTTGAAGTTGGGCCACACCAAGTCAGACTAAAATGAAGTCCAATTCGGCTGGCCGGTCCGGCTTGGCTGCAGAGGGAATGTGAGATGAAAAAGGGAAGACTGAAGAATGTCAAGAAGCAGGACATCCATCCGGCTCAGCTCATGCAAATCGATGGCCCATTTCCTAGCCTTTTCGGAGCAGTCTGCTGTTAGGAGTCGATGTTTGTTTGCTTTTGTTGATTTATGTTTTTATTATGCCCAGCAATCTGCAGACATGTAGCCCAGTGGTATACTATGCGATCAATCCGTAGTGTTGATTTTGTTCTTCAAACAGAACCCCTAAGCTTCCAAAGCCGATTAAACTAATAGGCGTTTCATGAAGGCCTATTTCCAAAATAGTCGATGGGATCTAGCATGAGCATCACCCCGAAGCACCCACACAGCTGGAACACAAGCTGACATACTCAAACCCTCTTTTTACCCACGACCACGCCGAAGTTTGGCGCGTACACAGCGATTCAACCTTAGCTACAGAATCCCAACTCCACAAATCTAGAACATCACATCATCCAAAACTGAGATCTTAACCCTCAATATTACACACCAGCTTCCTCAAGAAACACATCAATAAAACGTTCATCGTGCAAAGACAAAGCCACGCTCGAATCTTCAGCTTTGTCGCCCAAATCCTCATTGGCGTCAGATGTTTGACTCATTTAGGGATGAAATCCTCAAGTAACAACATCAGTCAATAATACACACCATGCACCCTTGACCAACTGCATGCGTTATATCAACATGCATGCATGTATATTCCTGGGCATGTGTATCCCCAAAGAGCTGTTGATGCTTGTTGGAATGTTCCACCAAGGCTCCGTAGTCTTCCACAGCGCATTACCCAAGAACATCTTGCCAGTGCATGCCCTTGAATGAAGGTACCTTGGCACAAGCACACATAACGCTCTTAATGACTCACATGGCGCAAAAAACACAACATTTTATAAGCAGAACATGAATACACACAAAACCAATTCAACAATGATCAGGCCAATGGCGTTTTGTCCAGGCCATGGCGTCTTCATCTTGGAAACAATGGAAATACCGAGCATTGCATCCTTAAGCACTTGGCTTGTCAAATACAAACGGTCAAGATTTGCAGGTATAGGCTTTAGTGGCACAGCTAACTGCACAAAGAACTTGCATATATGCATGCAAGCTTGCATTCTCCAAAAGACTTTGGCAAGGGTCGACGGTGAAGCATGTTCTTAATGAGGTGCTTGAGAACCTCATTTGCACCGAGTGTGCAAAAAACCAAGTGTCCACTTTCATCAGTGCAACACGTAGCAGAACTCAGCAGAACAGGCCAACCAGGTAGCAAAAATCCTCATATGTGCGCAGGAGCCTGTTTAAAACATGCACACATTCACCACATGCATACAAGGGACATGCACCTTGGGTCGAACATGCCATTCACGCAGTTCGCGCCTTTAAAACACATGCAAAGAGATCATGCAAGGATTGAACAAGATTGCATGGTTGGACTTTGTACTGTCAAAGCACTTTAAAAACAATCAAACTGTTCAGCAAGTGCTTGGGTCACAGTGCATGATGCCTCAGGGAAATTCTGGCCAAATAGAGATGGTTTCGGAGGAATGCCATTCCATCACTGTGAATTGCATTGGCTTCCTCATCTGTCCTGAAGGGTTTAGTGCATTGCTATAATGTTAAACCCCTTAAGTACAAAGCACCACCCACCACAAAAACAGACGTTTGTTCAATCCGATTTATATATCGAATGAACAATTCTTCAAACATTGAACAGAATGGATTCAAGGCCCACTATGCTCAGGGAAACTCAAACCCAAATGACTTACTAAGATAATCAGCAGGGATCAGGAAGCGGCCGGCAGCTTCAATGCCATGAACAAATCTGGCAAGGTGAAGCCTTGCATGCAGGGAGACCCAGACCCCGAGTGCACAGAGAAGCCAAATCGAAGGTTTGCAAAACATGGATGTTGGAAGGTTGAAAAATAAGTACTAGAGCTGCATAGTCGGTTCTTATATAATATATATATATATATATTATATTATATAGTATTATTATAACTTTGCATCGATCAACAACAACTACTACTATGATATATTAAATATTTATATCTGAGGGTCTGCAAACAAGCTGATCAACAACAACAAGAAGCATTGTCACAGCAACAAGGGGCATCCTATCATCTGCAGCCACATAGCTCTCCTGCTGCGCAGCCTCAGCAATGGTCTCAGCAAGCCATTGCATCACCACTCTCCCGTTGTAGGCTTTGCATACCAATGCCACATCTCCGTTGCTCTGGAACAACTCAGCTCGAAGAGTGATTGGTTATGAACAAACCAACAATGCATGCATGCATTTATTGAACCTGATGCCACTATCCTCTTGAAGCTGTTTGCAAAAATATTTTGTCACTTCACCTAGCTGCATACTTTTCATTGAAGGCTGGCTGGCTGCAGCTAATCCTTTTTGAAGAGCACCAGCGCTTGAAGGCCACATATGCTCTGTGCAAGCGAACTCGAACGGGCTCATCAGTGGCACCCCAATGCCCAGCTTGGAGCAACATGGACCTTGTTGTTGGCTGGCAGGATGGGAGAACGACAGGCAACCCAATTCAGGTCATGTCGTGGCAGCAACAACCCACATGGTTACCTCGAGGGATTCCCAACAAAGAAAACATTATATATATATAATTCAGCTAGCCGCATTGTGCCCCCATTTGCTGTATAGAGCAAACCCAGGTGCAATGTGTGCATCAAGCACCATCTGATGCATGTAGGGTGAAAACCTTTCAATGCGATGAATGGACCTGAGCTGGCCCAGTGCACAAAACAAGAGCGTGCAAACCCATGAACTTTTGGTATTAGTTTTGCAGGGAGCGCCAGGATGACCTATGATCGGCTCACAGGTCGGCTATCATATCCCCAAAGTACTTTGGCCTGGCTAGCGCACTGTTTTTTCAGAGTTGGTGAATGCTGCAAGCTGTTGTTGAACACCCTGGTCAAAGCCTTCAACATTATTGCTAAGACAACCAATCAAGGCACAAATGCCCCTGGATGGAATGCGCTTGCTTATAAACTCTGCCAAATCGAATTCATAGGCTGGTGTGTCCAGATTCCAGTACAGGTCATTCTGGTTGTCACTCTTCCCAAGTGCATCGCAAAGCGGACACATGGTCGTCACTGAGTTCCACTGGCAATTCAAGAACTTGAAGAGTTTCTTATGCCATTGCCAATCCCCTCGTATCTCTACCACTTGAAACTGGTGATGCCCAGTTGTCAATGGAGCACCAGCCATTGAAGCTGCCTTTCCCAGAAGTACTTGGCCCTGATTTCCTTCAGCAGGAAATCGACCGAACCATGCATGGTTGCAAGACCAAACAACTCGACGCAGAACAGTCGGAATGGATTCACTGGTGCATCTTTCCTCCGGAATGCAAAATAGAAGGAATCGACTCCAACGGACAGATTTAGGTCTCCAAAGTGGTAGATTGGCAAAGATAGATACAACATGTTCAGCGCCAAAGTTTGTTTTGACTTTGGCACTGTCACCATAGAGTCCAATTGGAATTCGATGGTGGTTGCTCTCATCCTGTGCCCAAGGTTCTCCATGTCTCTTCGATTCAGCCCAGAAGCTTCGGATGTAGGGTGCTGGAATATCCACATGAGCGTCTTCAATGAGAAAATGCATGATGGAGTGAACATCCAGTATGGGCCAGCTCTCTATCTGAACCACAGTGGCACCGTCTTCATCGACATACTTCACCGGTAGATCAAGGTGCTGAATTTCCTGAGATATGATCATCACCCTGACAAAACAAAGCTTCCCGAAATGTAATATCTAGATTTCACGTTTAAATTAATTGCTGGTCTGAGTGTAAGCTGCAATGAGGGTGGTGAGCTCCCCGAGTAATATGAACATGTTGCAAATTGATCGATGCAATATAAAATAAA